TGGGGTTAGCTGAGTTCTCTGCAGCCATTCTTGGGAAGAATCCCTGAGGGCAGAGACCAGACACCCTTGCAGGCATCTGAGGGTGGGTGGGGAGAGGTGTGTGGGGCCCAGGTCACCTGCAGGATCTCACCGGCCTGGGAGAGTACGTGTTTAGTGAACTGCTGTTCATACGTCCATGTGGGGGTGGGGGCAGCTGCCTGATGTCACTCCAACGTCACTTCCCTTTCTCCCCACCCCACCCCAGTTTTGTTGGCTACGAGGGGCAGGCCCCAGAGGGCCCCGGCCTGGGCAGCTCCTGTGGGGAAGGCTGGGCACTGGGCTCAGACACCCCTGTGGGGGCTACTCTCTTCTCAGTGCCCGAGAAGGAGGCCCCCAGGGGGGACAGAGCGAGGCCAGACCCAAAGAACAGGCACGATGCTGTGTGTGCAAGGAGAGGAGTGCTGACGGGTAACCGTCCTCACCGCTCCTGCTGGGCCTTTCCGGGGGGGCTGCTGGGAGCCCCCCAAGGAGAGTCTCAGGCCACCCGCACTGGAGCCCTCCCTGCCCCCCCCCCCAGTGCTGAAGAGCGGCCCGTGGTCATCGGCAGAGGGCGAGCAGGTCGGGACCCAGAAGGTCACCTGCTCCCGCTCACCGGCCGGCTTCCCCGGTGGGAGTGCTGTGCTACCACAGAGCGCCCTCGCGGGGGCCCCACGCTTGCTTCGGCCTCTGCCATCCCCGTGTTGACAGTCTTACGGAGTTTTGGACAAGGAATCCCGTGTGTCAGGTCGCTGGTCCTGTGTGGGCGGGCTGACTCCGCCCCCCCGGCCCGGCTCTGGGTCCCTGCTTCTCGTCCTCCTCTCCCCGCTGCATCCTTCTTGTCTGTTTTATGGAAGACGAAGGCCAGACTCCCAGGCGACCCCAGCCGGCCCTCCCGTCTGTTGGAGGCAGTGTGCCCTGCAGCGTGAGTGGGACGTGTGGGGGTGCAACGAGAGGATGGCGTTTCCCCGGAAGCCACGAGCCTCATGCAGAGGCTCGGAATCCAGTTTAGGAGAACACACAGTATCGGGTGCTAGCCAGGCTGCCTTTCTTGGGCTCGACCTGGGCCCTGCAGCCCCACTGGCCAGGGCACCATTTCCGCCCCGGGCGCTTGGGGGCTCCGGGCCCTTCTGGGGCCACGGCAACCTGTCCGCTTGGAGGCGCCCATGTAGGTGCCAGCCTCTAGCGAGTTCGCATCTGCTGTGAGGCCAGACATCTCGGTTCCTGCTGGCCGGTGAGGTAGGGCGGGCAAAGTCTGAGCTGCCAGGACGGGCAGGTGGGCTGTGGTGGGGAAGGCTCGTCTGGGCTGGGCCAGGCTCAGGCACGAAGAGGGTAGGGGTCTGTTTTCAGGTCTTTTTTCTCCCCCCTACACATCTCTCCTATATGTTCTGACCATTTCTACTCCTGCACAGTCAGGTGCCAGGGGATGGAACCTCCTGGAATAATTTCCCAAGCATCAGGCATCTCCAGGCCGCTCACCTCCCCCGTCCTGCTGGTTTTGGGACCTTTCCTTCTGAATCGCCCCGTGCAGCCAGAGCATAGAGTGAGACCCCACCGCTCACGGAGCAAGGTCAGGCGTGCAGCAGGTCCCCTGCAGGTGGGAAACAGAGCAAAACCCAGATAGTGCTGGTTTAACCCTGGGGAGTTGTCAGCGAGGGATTTGTGTCGCGGGGTCTCATCCCACTCTGTAAACCTGCACCGTTACCTGGAAAACCTCGTTGCAGGAGGCTCTCCCCGCGGTACAGAGTGGAGGTGAAAGCCTGCCCTGTGGCTCCGCACCTGCTTGGCTTGCAGGCCGTTCCAAGGTTCTTTCCTTTCCCTTGAAGTGCTCCCAACAATATCCCAAGTGCAGCACTCCAGCCAAGGTCAGATCTGACTGGTACGGAGCCTGGCGTTATCTGGTAGCTAAGCTGCAAGTGGCAGGGCCCAGCCCCCACATGGGACATAGCTGGGGTTTGTGTGGCCAGCCACGGTGCATCTGCCGAAGGCTCTGGACTCTTCTGCTAAAGGAGCACTCCGAAGACTCCCCCTGAGCAGAGCAGCTGCCAGCCTTGCGTCCTAACTGCCCAGGGGACCCGCCTTGAAGAAACCTCCCCGGGGTGGGGGGGCTGATTCTCTGCCATCCCCCCCACACTGCCACGTGCCTCTGCTGCTGTGGGCTGGGGAGCGGTGGCCCTGTACCCTCCTTTCCTGGGCCCGACCATGATCTGGACGTGCTTTCTTCTGTTAGTGTTGGTGGCCACATTCGGCACCGCTTGGGTGCCCCCGGGCATGCAAACCCACAGACAAGTACGTTCCACTGTCCTCGACTGCCCGGGGCAGCCTTGCTGTGGGAGGACTCTTGTGGCCTTGGCCCTTTTCATGTGAAAGGCACGCTTCCTCATGTTGGGAAGGAAAGCTGAGCAAAAAAGCTCAGCGTGAACTGTCGAGAGGACCCACCCCGAGCACCCCTCTCCTTTCCGGCTCCAACTCTCCCACACGTACCCCATCCTCATGGAGTGGCTTTCACTCCTGCTATCAGGGGAACCCACGTGCTGGTCCCATCTTACAGGTAAGGGGGGCCACAAGGAAGGTCAGGAGCTCATCCAAGGGCGGTCAGCAAGGAGGGGACGGAGTCAGGTCCACCTGCCTCACCTCACCGTCACGCTGCCCTGCTCCAAGCTTCCCAGCCCAGCCTCCAGAGCTGGCCTCACCTGCTCACCCTCAGCCCCCGCTGGACCCAGCTGTTCCAGGACCCAGGCCAAGGCTCTGTTCCAGGGGCCTGCGACAGTCTTCTCCCCCAGGTTTGTCGCCACCCTGCCTCTGTCCGGCACAGCCTCCACGAAGACCTCCCTTCCCAGCACATACCCATCTTGGCACACCCCTCCCTGGCCGTAGGACCTGTCCTCCCTGGGTCATGTGTCACCACTGCATCTACAGATACATTGTGCAGCCGGGTGACGCTGGCCCTGAGGGTCCCAACTGTCCAAGAGCCTGGTGGACCAGCTGTCCCTCCCTCATTGGGCAGAGGAGGAAACTGAGGCCCCAGAGGGGCGTGAAGCGGGGGTGCAGGGTGGGTTTAGTCATTCCCTGGTGGGGCGGTGGCACGGGGTGGGGTCCGCGCTGGACTGGGGACACGTGCCCTCCTGCTTCCACGCCGCACCTGTCACACCCTCAATCCCCTGTGAGCTGTGATGGGTGGTGGCCGGCTGTGCGGTCTGCCTCTGCACCGATCTTGACGTCTTCCCCGCGGGGCCATCAGACCACCGCCCGGCTCCTCTCCTGTAATGAGGTTTTTCCGCTGTTGCCCCCCCCCAACCCCCCGTGCTGTTTGTGCGGCCTTCTGGGTGCTGAGATAAGTCACGCCTCGGCCTTCCTCAGCCTTCTTTGGTGATCTCCGTAAGAACGATCTAGGAAAACAACCTTGCCAGTAGAGGCCCGGCCCTTTTGTCACATGGCCTGGCGTAAGAATAGACTAGGTCTTGGTGGCGGGGTGAGGGTTTCTGGCACGGCGAGAAAGACTGCCAGGTTCAGTAGGGAGGAATTCCTCTCCTTAAACAGATTTTCACTTGAAAGCCTGATGACAGAAGCAGCTGAGTCTCAGCAAAGAGAACGAAAACCCGGGGCAACTGATTTAACCTTGAATCCACCTTGGGTGCCAGCAGCCTCTGCAAAGATGCGGCCTGTGTCCTCGGGGAACACGGCCATGGGCAGGGAACGAGGAGCTGCTGCGTCTACAGGCCCCCCCAGTGGAGGCGGGACCCCTCCTCCTGGCCTCCTGGCCTCCTGCCCCTGCGCAGAACTGCTAGCTTCTCCTTCCCCCAGCACGGAGCCGCAGAGCCCCGTGGGTTCGTGCTGTGGTTTTGCTGGCCAGGGACCTGCTTGCTGCTCAGGGCGGGCTTCCACCCCCCTCCAGGGACGCCTGTGTTGGGCGCACGTGGTCTTCCCCGCTCCGTCTCTGATTCTGTCCTAAAGTTAACGTGGGGATGTGTGTTTCTGGAGAAACGTGTACTGCTGGGGGAGAAGAGGATTTTTGTAAGGCGGTCGTGCGGGATGGAGGTTTGCGTGCCAGCTTCATTCATCGCTGACTTCTGAGGGTCAGGTTCTACCCTCAGACGGGACAGTGACGGCCCTGCATGCTTCTTGCAGAGCCAAAGTAAGGTGCTAAGTCAATGTCAGTTCTCCTTTCTGTGCAAGGAGCCCCTCCTGCGTGCCCGCACATGCACACACGCGCACACACATGGACACATAGGCACACTCACACACGTGTGCATGCGCTCACAGGTCTTACTTGAGAAACCCCCTAAGAAGGACAAGTACGTTGAAAAGGAGGGAACTGCAGGCCCGCTCACCCCGTGTGCACCCCAGCTGTGGGGTGGAGGGTGCTCTCCCTGGGAACTCCCTACAAAGTCTCTCTCCAAGCTCCTTGCAGGCAAGAAGTACCTCTGCCACCACACCCACGGGTACAGCGTGAGGGGACACTGGCCCCCTCTCATCTGCCTCTGAGGGGCCAGCGCTGTTGGGACGCTGGGGTCATTTCCCGGAGCCCTTTGAGTGTCCCGCCGTGCTAGGAGCCTGATGGACCAGCCGTCCCTCCCTCACTGGGCAGAGGAGGAAACTAAGGCCCCAGAGGGGCATGAAGCGGGGGTGCAGGGTGGGTTTAGTCATTCCCTGGTGGGGTGGTGGCACGGGGTGGGGTCCGCGCTGGACTGGGGACATGTGCCCTCCTGCTTCCACGCTGCACCTGTCGCACCCTCGCCCTGAAGGTCCCCTTGCATCTGGGCGCTCTGCTCGGCAACAAGCTTTGCCGAGCTCCCTCTGACGGTACATCCGCCGTGTAGATGACAGAGGTGAGGACCTCGGAGCCACCAAGGGCCCCTGCCCCGTGGGCGTGGTGCTTCTCATCCTGGGGCCGCCGGCACCGAGTTACCTTGCTCTGAATTTATCCTAACGGAAAAGTACCCATTCTCTTTCTAATGGAGAGTTTTTTGTTTGTTTGTTTCTAGAGCAAATCATGGAGGAAAATAAAAAACATGGTTCACTGGTCTCCCTTTGTCATGTCCTTCAAGAAGAAGTATCCCTGGATCCAGCTGGCAGGACATGCAGGTACTGAACCCCCCCCAACCTTCCGGCCGGACCACCGGCTCCCTCGGGAGGCACCCAGCACGAGGGCAGGGCAGGCCTGGCCCTGGATGCTCCTGGGGATGGGAGCGTCTGGAACAGCTTCTCTGAGACCCTGGGGTCTACAGTCTCAGCCAGACATGCCTGTGTGGCCTCAGCGCTGCCCTGAGCACAGCTGCCCCCTCCAGGGCCCGTGCCACCCCTTCCTCAAACACACGCACGGCACCCCTCCCCCTATCTCTGTCACATTTGATCTTTCTCTCCCCCTCTGCCTCTCTTCTGCCTGAGCCCGATAAAACCTGTGCCCTGATCAATCCTGCAGCTCGCCCCCCATGGGTCAGCCTCAACAAAGAAGCCACGCCCAGCGCTTCCTTGAGCTCCCGCTGTATCCCCGCATCACCACGGTCTTGGGGGTCACAACATTCTTGGAAACGTGGTCTCTGTCCCAAAGGAGCCTGTAGGTGGTGGGGGGGAGAGGCAGGCAGGTCACCCCACAAGCCAAGGAAGGTCCTAGGTGCAGGTGGCCAGGGCGCCCACCAACCACAGGGGTGGAGGGACATGTCACGCCAGAGCCCGAGAGCTGGCCAGTCTACATGTGGGGGCCCTTTGGTGAGCATTGTCCTCTGCGGAGGTTTCGGTGGCTGCCCCAGACTTGACCTTCATGACCGCAGACCAGCACGTGGTCTGACATTTCCTCTATATCTCTGAAACCTGGTCCCAGCCGGAGGCGCTTGGACGAACACCTTCCTAAATAGGTATTTCACACACACAAAGTGTGTGTGTGTGTGTGTGTGTGTGTGTAGTGTGACTGGAGCAGTGCTCGGGTGGGCTGTGCCTCGGAGCTTCTCAGCCAGTGTCCCTGTCCTGAAACTGAAGCCGGCCCTACCAGGACTCCTGTCCGGAGACTGGAGGCGCCTTCAACACCTGAGAAGCAGGACGGATGATGGGCTGGGGGTGGTAACGGTAATACCAGTAGGACGGCACAGGCCCTCCAGCAGTGAGCACTGGGGGCCTTCGCCCTTCAGACAAGGAGCCTGCGGTCAGGGAAGCCGGGGACCCGGCCTGTGAGCGTGGCTGGACGCCGGGACCTGCATCCACTCCCCCTAAAGTGCTTGGTCCACAAGTGGGGACCTGGGGGGCACCCCCTGGGAGACTTCCCGAGGGGGCTGTGGGGGGAGGCGGTCAGCGCAGGGCAGGCCCCGCAGAGAGACCAAAGGCCTCCTCCCACCTTGCCCCGCAGGGAGCTTCAAGGCGGCGGCCAACGGCAGGATCCTGAAGAAGCACTGTGAGTCTGAGCAGCGCTGCCTGGACCGGCTGATGGCCGACGTGCTGAAGCCCTTTGTGCCCGCCTACCACGGGGACGTGGTCAAGGACGGGGAGCGCTACAACCAGATGGACGACCTGCTGGCCGCCTTTGACTCTCCCTGTGTGATGGACTGCAAGATGGGCGTCAGGTGAGACGGGCCCCGCGGAGGCCACCCCAAAGTCCAGTGTGTATGGGGCAGGCGTGGGGTCCCGGGGGGACCACTGGGACCCCCTCCTACCCCGGTCCTATCGCATGTCTTGCAGAGGGGACGGGACCCTGCTTTGCCCCTGACAGCCTCCTCCCCTCTCTGGAGCCAGTAGCTGTGGGGCCGGAAACAGGGCCTGGGTCCGTGCTGAGCCTCCCTGGGGAGGGCACAGAGAACTGCTTTTCTGGGCAGGGGGGATTGCTTGGGGTAGCAAGGGGGTGGCCGCACAGGGAGGCAGGGGTAGGGGCCCTTCTCAGTGCCGCCTGTGCCCCCACCCAAGGGAAGGGAGAGCCCATTAGTGGAACGTGCCGGTTTGCCAAGAGACTTGCGCCTGCCCTTTGAGGGGAGGGAGAGCCCAGGAGCTGCTTCCTTGGCGGACGTGGGGTGCTCCGGGGCCCCGAATAAGGCATAGAGGCCGCAAGGGGCTGCGTGAGCCTGTGCGTGGAATCGGGTCCAAGCCCTGGCGTCTGCCCAGGGAGATAAGCCAGAAGAGGACTGGGGAGGGAGGGAGAAGGAAGAGCGGCCAGGAGGAGACAGGGTGGTGCGCCGGGCCGAGAGGAGCCGAAACCCCGCCGCCTGCACCACCCTGGGCCCTGTCTTGGCTGCGTGGTGTTCTCATCCCTCTCAAACTTGGACCATTCCGTCCCAGGGGTCCCCGAGCAGCTCCTTCTCTCCTGCGGGCAGGGCTGTGGCCATGTGGTGTCCGGGAGCCACGCTCACCTCGGGGAGCCGCTGGCTGCAGGGGCCCAGCCCGGACAGACAGGCGCCGGGCTCCTCCGTCTGACCCGCGGCTCGCCGGGGAGACCGGGCCCTGGGAAGCAGCTCTGAGCTGGGGCCTGTGTTTGCTTTGGGTGGTGTAAGCAGATTTCTTTCTTAAGAGAGGAGAATGAGAAAGAAGAGTGTGTCTGTGTGTGTGTGACAGAGATGGAAGCTGGGGGAGAAGGCCGGTTTCCCTTCCCTCACCCCTCCTGGGACTGTCATTAAGTCAGGCCCCGCAGGCTGCATCCCCTCCGTGTTGTCCCCAGGAAGGGACCAAGGGATGGGGAGGTACAGGTCCCACTGGGCTATTGTGTGTCCCTGACCCCCTCCCTCCCTCTGTCCAAAGCCCTCACCACTCCAGCCCACGGAGAGGAAACAGAATGTCCTTCCAGCCACCACTTTGCCACTGCTCTTCCCCAGAGTCTTATTTCTGTCCCCGGAAGGCCCTCCCAGGGTATCCTGGGATGGACCCTCTCAAGGGAAGACACATAAATATTCTGATGAGTGTTCACTCCGACCGTGGCCAAAAAAAGTACAGCCTGAGGGAAGAACGTGTGGCTAGTGGGTCCCGAAAGGCTGCCCCGTGTGCCTGTTCCCGAGGAAGCTGCTGGGGGCAGGTGCCCCCTCCACCTTAGGCTGGGTCCTGCAGCTCTGTCCGCCTGGTGCTCTCGGGAGAGACCCAGAGTGACCTGCGAGGCTGGAACAACTTTAGCCCAGTTGTGGGCTGGGCCGGGAGGCGGAGGCCTTGGGGTGACAGAGGAGTCCGTGTGGAGGGGAGGGGTGGGTCTCCCCAAAAAGGGTCTCGCCCCAGCTTCTCCCTGCTTCACCATGCCAGGGATGGGCCCCCCTGCGTTCCTGCCACCCCAAGGCAGAGGTCACGGCCCAGTCCGAGTAGGGGTCACAGATGCCACAGGGGAAGGGACCCAGCAGGGCCGTGCTGGGCCGACAGGCCAGCCAGCCTTGTCCAGACCAGGCCCTGCAGACCAGGCCCAAAGGGTGCTCCTTGGGGCCCTGTGCCCCTGCGGGGACTGCACTGCCTCCCCAGTTCTCTCCATCCAGAATGCTTGACCTCACAACCTCCCCTAAGACCAGCAGTCGGTGACCACGCCTGGAGTGTGGCCTGTGCTTGCCAGAAGGGGGAGGCCTGAGACCGCGGCGTGAGGGGTGGAGACTTGTCGCGGGGAAGAAGAGGGCAGGCTGATCAGCAAATCCAGCGTCGGCCCGGGGGCACGGGCACCGGTAGTGTCCTAAGCCAGGGGCCTCGTGGGACCGGGGTGCCGCTCGGACACAGGCTTACGTGTCCCTGGGGAGTTTTCTTAGATGTGACCCTGTGGTCCTTGGAGGTGTCGCCTTCCTCCAGGGCCGGCGTTGGGGAGCTCGGGCCCCACTGTCCGGTTGCTGACCGTTTCCTCTTCCAGAGGGTGGGCTACTCCCCCCAGAGGGACCGTGGGCCAGCTTTGGAGAAAGCCCCGGTCAGAAGGGACTGGAAGCTGAGGCCCGCTTGCTGTTAAGGAGCTAGTAAAAGCTCTTTGCACAAGTCGAGCCACCCACCCACCCCGCAGGCCCCCACAGCGCACTCCGGAGCACTGGGGATGGCCAGCCCGCCCCTGCCACGCAGAATTCATGCACAGGCCCGCCGGATGCGCCTCCACGCATCACCGCCCCTCCCCCATCGCCGACTGGGCTCTGCAGGCCCAGCGGCATGGGGGTGCGCACGAGTACAATGGAAGGCTCTGAATGACCAGGCCCGTGTTCACACCCAAGGATTTGGCCTTTTTTTACGTTTGATACAATGGTTTCTGAAAACTTGTGCTTGGAAGAGTTCAGGAGTTGACGTGCAGTCAGTTCTGGGTCCCAGCACAGCAGCTTGGAGCAGGTCTGATGGGCAGTGGCCAGCGAGGCCCCAGGACGGCCGGGGAGGGGGCGGTGGGCCGCCGTCACAGCCGCCCACCGTGTGGGCAGCCCCCACCCACGAGGGGCCCGCGCCGAGAACTTCCCTCCGCTGCAGCTCAGCGCTGTGATTTCTGTTTCAGGAAGGCTCGCAGGCAGCCATGGAGCCGGGGGCAGGGGAGCGGGGGTTTGACTGAGGAGCAGGGGGGCGTTTGCGTTCGCCTGTGTGTGCAGCAGGGGTGGGTTCCCCACCTCAGTCCGGGCAATGGGGTAAGGGACTCGGCCTGTCCGCCCCTGCTCCCGTTACCCCACCAGTTTCCGGGGGACCCCTGCCAGGTCAGCCAGCAGGCCCAGCCGGCTTGTGTGGAGGGCAGGTCAGTGAGCAAGCGTTGGCCACGCTTTCTCAGGCCCTTTCAGGCTGGAGGCTCCGCTGTGAGAAGGCACGGGCTGGGCAAGGCAGGCTGACCCGGCCTGTGGGCAATACAACAGTGGCCATGGGGCACCCAGGCTCCCTCTCCCGGTCATGGGCTTCCCCCTCCCCCACTGTGGCCTCTTCAGAGGCCACTTCCTGGTCCTGGCCTTTGTACTCAAGATGTTCCTTCTTGAGAGAGCCTCTTCCTGGAAGGAAGACCCCTGGGCTCTGCCAAGCCTCCTCGGTGATGCTGGCATGGTGTACCCCACCCAAAGTGGCCCTCTCCTCCCCAGCCTGAGCTGAGTGTGTGCCCATCCCGGGTGAGCATGCCTTGGCTAAGCTGAGTGCAGCCCTCGGGCAAGGCTGGAGCTGCGGTGCAGCCAGTGGTCCTCATCACCCCCGTCCCCACACAGGACCTACCTGGAGGAGGAGCTCACCAAGGCCCGGAAGAAACCCAGCCTCCGCAAGGACATGTACCAGAAGATGATCGAGGTGGACCCTGACGCCCCGACCGAGGAGGAGAAGGCCCAGCGGGCTGTGACCAAGCCTCGGTACATGCAGTGGAGGGAGACCATCAGCTCCACCGCCACCCTCGGGTTCAGGATCGAGGGCATCAAGGTGAGGCCCGCCAGGTGCACGGGCCACCGGCTCCCAGCTGAGGAAGGGATGGAGACTTTGACATCCACACACGGGGTCATGGATGCGCAGACCCTGGTCCTTGCAGCCTTGTTGGGTTTCTATCCTCGACCCACTCCGGGCCCCACCGCCCAGCCCTCGCATCGGGGTTGGACAGCTGGGAGCCCCCAGCTTGCCAGCGGGCTGAAGGCAGGGCACCTCTGCAGAGAGTCCGCTGGGGACCGCTGCTTTTTGAGCTCTAGGCTGAGAAGGCCATTCGTCTTTCCCCTGTCCTCTGAAACCAGCATTTTCTTTCTTTTTCTGTATCCAGCCCTCAGACTGGCTGCAAATTTCATGCCTGTCCCCCTCCCTGTAATGCTCCTTTTCCTCCCCTTACCTGTTTGAAACGATTCCCCGTTCCCTAACCCCTCCCTCTCCAGCTGGATGTTCTGGCCTCTGTTCACTGTCTGGCCAGTGTCCCCACCAGCACCTCACCTGCCTCTCCCCTCCCCTGCTCCAGAAAAGGGTCCCACCCCCCGAGATGGGCCGTCCACCTGGCTGTCCCTCCACCCCAGAGTCCTGCTTAACCTTTCAGAGGCAAGCACGTTGCGTTAACTAGCCTCTGGCCTGATGGTGCACAGACCCAAGTTTGGTGGCTCCTAATGGAGCCATCTTCACTCACCCTTTGTCCCCCAAAACAGAGCTCTTCCTGGGGGAGCTAAGCTCCATGCGCTTCGCTGGAACAGCCTGGAACAGACATAGTGCCAGGCTAAGAAGCTGGAGCAATCTCTTGCACTGGGTGGGCCAGGGAAGAGACGGGCAGGCAATATTATATTTTGGTCTCCAGGGAAGCTGTGATAAAAGATCTTACTTTACAAAGGAAACCTAGCTGACCTTGGCGTAGGGGGCCCCTCTCTTCTGTCTGGGCAGCAGCAGTGTCCCCTGGGCACTCGGGTTCCAAGGGCCAGGCCCCAGGGGAAGCCTTCGGCCCCTGCTGCCCACGGCCCCGCTTTTCCGTCCCTGGGCTCCACACCCCCAGGCCTCCCTTGACCTTCTGCGCTGCCACCTAACTAGCCTCCCTGGGATGGTGCACGCACCTGCCTCCTTGTCCTGCATGTAGGGACCATGACGCCTCTGCAGTCCCCCCCGAGCTGCCTGGCTTCCTTGGGCTGCCAGGTGAGTGAGCGCCCTGCCAGTCCCCGGGCCCTCTGCTGACCCCTCCTGGGCGGGTGTCCTTCTCCTTCTCAGAAAGAAGACGGCTCCGTGAACCGGGACTTCAAGAAGACCAAAACGAGGGAGCAGGTCACCGAGGCCTTCAGAGAGTTCACTAAGGGGAACCGCAACATCCTGGTGAGTCACCCCCCAACCCCCGCCAGAAGGGGCCAGCTGCACAGGGACCACTGGTGCCCCCCCAGGCTTGCCCAGCCCTAGACTGAGCTGGGCCGCGGTGCCCACATGCCGGCCCCAAACTTCCGCTGGGCAGGTGCAAAGGTGACTTGGTCGCCAGCCCCATCCGAGAGTGGGTGGGGGCACTCGGTGGGCTCGCTCTCTGCCTTGCTGTCCCCTCACGGTGCCGAGACGGTTCCCTCCCATGAGAGGATTGCTGTCACTGTAGCCTCGCTGCAAATCCGCAGGGAGCCCTCTGGGGCGGGGAGACGTTCTTGTCCGCACTTGACAGGTGAGGAACTGAGGTCCAGGACGCAGCTAGGAAAGCACAAGCTGGATCTCATGCGCAGGCCACTGCACTAGTGGACAGGCTGGACAGATGGCTCTGACCTCTGGGGTCGGGACCTCGATCCTCCAGGCGGAGGTAGGGTGTGCTGAGTATCCGTACCCCTAGGGAAAGGCACCCTGGGACAGACCCAGACACACTGGGGACATGGGCCCTGGAGTCCCCGGGGACAGGCTCCTTCTGAGCAGGGGTGGACCCGGACAGCCTTTTCTCTGAGAAGACTCCTCGCTGGCTGGCTCTCCCTCCCTCCTTTGCAGGCTGGGTAGGCTTCCCTGAGCCCCTGGCAAGGAGGCTTCGGGCATGGGGTGCACCCCCGAGCTTTTCCACGGCCCGAGCCCTCTGTTTTCCGGGTCACCCGCTCCTTCACGGTGCCCGCCCCAGAGCACGTGGTGCCAAGCCCCGGGCCACGACGTTCTGCAGAAAGGCATTGAGGGACCGTGGGAGCCTGCGTGCACCGGGCTTCCCCATGGTCCCTGGGGACAGCAGGCACCCCGGGAGCCCGCGCAGCTCCATCCCCATCCGAGGGCCCTGTGGAGAGGCCACTGGCCGAGATATTTGTGGCTTCCCCACTTCCTCTGTCCTTTGGAAGGTCAGGGGCATGGAGGTTTGTATTCTGGAAGACACCATGGCAACCAGGCTGTTCGGAGGTACACTGCTGGTGTTCCAGAATAAACTTGACCCTCATGTGAGAGCTCGGAGGGGCTGCATGGCTGTGCAGGGGTGAGGGGGGGTGGACGAAGCGTGGCCCCAGGAGCCCAGCTGCCGGCCTCGCCTGGGCCTGGAGGTTGGAATAAAAACTCAGGGTGTGAGGTCTCTTGCAGTCTGACACCCAGCGATGCTAGTAGGCCGCACGGGGCTTAAAAGCCACCCCACCCCCAAGTGTTTAAAACTCTGGCCGTTGTCTGTTCCCAGATCGCCTACCGGGACCGACTGAAGGACATTCGTACCACCCTAGAAGTTTCTCCCTTCTTCAAATGCCATGAGGTAGATACCGGGCTTGCTTTCTCTGGGGCAGAGGGCCTTGCTCTGTGGGATCAGCCATGATCTTCGGGCCTGCCCGCCTGAGTGGTGAGTGCACCTCCCACACTTCCAGACCTGCTTGTTCTGGAAGCCCGAGGGGCACTTTTCAGACCATGCAGCCAGAGGCAGGCCGCCTGGGATCGGGTCCCTCGCCGCCGGCAGGAGCCTCGTCAGCACGCGTCTGCACCAGGCTCCCTGGAATGACCACGCAGCCTGTCCTGCCTGAAGGCTGTGGTCATCCTCCTCCCACTGCCCCCCCCCCCAGCTCCTGAAGCTTCTGTCCCACACGCTCCTGGGGCTTAGGGCAGAGCCACCCATCACCACCCAAGACCTTCTGAATGGGCTGGCCCGTCTTAGGCACCACTCTTGGAGCAGGGCTGGAACGTTCCACCTGTTCCTGCTTTCGCACCTGTTTGCAGGGGCAGCAGGCAGGCACCCCAGACAGCCGAGAGAGGGTTGGGAATTGTCAGCAGGTTCCCTGGGGGGTCTGTAGGATCCTGATGTCAGAGAGTCCAGGGCCCCCAGCCCCTGGAGTGTGCGTGCACACACCCATGCATGCCGCTCCCCAGAAACGGTACTGCTGTGGCCAGGTGCATGTGAAGCAGGGATCCCATGCTCCCTGCAGGCTTGCGGCTCCTTCCAGAAAGCAGCCCCTCTCGGGGTCTTGTACGGAGGGAGCCTCAGCCTGAGCCCGGCCCACAGAGGGGGCAGTGGGGGCAGCAGGAGGAATAAGAAACGGGTGGTCCCAGGACCCCAGGCAGAGGGAGCTTCCCCAGAGTGGGGTGGGGCAGGCCCTGCTAGGCCTCTTGGCATCTTTGAGCAGGTGACACAGCTGGCCCCGCCTCCGGGCATACAGCCTGGCTTGCCCTGGGATTTTATTCCTAAATGGTCCCTTGGTCAGGATGCACCTGTCCCATGGGGTGGCTCTGACAGGTGCCTGGATAGGACTGCCCGTGAGGGGGGACTGTGGTGCCCAGAGGGCAGACGGGGCAGGCTCTGCCCTGAGCAGCTGCCCCTGGCCTAGCCATTCCCAGGATGCCCTTTCCTCTCCTCCTCCACACTGAGGCCCAGGGTGTGCAAGCCCTCCGCCCCACCCAAGGGCCTCCGGATTCCCAGCTCGATAAAAGGTCTTTGTGCAGCCTGCTGGAGCCTCCCTTCCCCCCCCCCAGCCTGCCTGCGTGCTCCAGAGGGCACAGGCTGTCCGTGGGCCTCAGAGCCCCAGGACCTGCCCCACCGACCGCACCGCTCCTGGTCAGCAGCCCAGGTTTTGTCTCGAACATCTGCCCTTTTTTCTTCTGCACCTTTGCTGTTATTTCTGGAAGATTGTTTTTGCTTTACTCCTCCTGGAGTCTCATTAGAAAGCTTCAGGTCTAGAAAGAGCTGGGGCTTCTGCCATTTTCCTTCTGGGAAGAGGAAGCTCCTCTCTGGGTTCAGCATTTCCAGGAGCTATTCCCTGTCCTGCCTGGGGCCCTGGGAGCTATAAGGACCCCACACCCTCTCCTCGCACCCCCTTATTTTCTCCAGTCCCACACAGTGACCTGGGGGAGGGTTTGGGGGATGTGTTCATATTTGGGAGAGTGCCTTACTCCATGCAATTGCTCTGAGCTGGCCCAGAGTGGGGGAGGGCTCCTTGGCGCCCGTGGTCCTCAGAGCAGGGGCGTAGGCAGGGACCAGACCCAGAGGCCCTGCTGGGCCTGTCTGCGCAGGCTTTGCCTGGGTAGTGCTGCTGGAATGGGGGTGGTCTGGGCCTCCCTGCCACCCTCTTGGGTGGGGGGCTGTGTGTGTATTTGGGCAGGTCCATCAGGGTGAAGGAGGGGCACGGTGAGGCCCAGGGTTTAGCCGTGGTCTGAAATAGTGGAAAGTGTGCAGGCCAGAGCTGGGGGGTGCGGGTCTGCCATCCTAGACGTCCTCCGTGCCGCTGCCCACACGGAAGGCGGTGGCTGTCCTGGTGGCCGGCATCCTCTGCCCCCTGCTCAGCCACCCTGGGTGGGCTTTGCCATACAGGATGGAGCTTCGAGCTCTGGGCCTCGCGCCCCACCTCCCCCACCGGGCGGGCCTGCCCTGGGTAGACTCTGGCTGCGGTGGGGCGGGCTGTGGGGGCTCCGGCGCTGCCTTCCCCAGTCCCCCACTCACCCGCCCTCTCCCCCCAGGTCATTGGCAGCTCGCTCCTCTTCATCCATGACCAGAAGGAGCAGGCCAAGGTGTGGATGATCGACTTCGGAAAAACCACGCCCCTGCCCGAGGGCCAGACCCTGCAGCACAACGTGCCTTGGCAGGAGGGGAACCGGGAGGATGGCTACCTCTCGGGCCTGAACAACCTCATCGACATCCTGACAGAAATGTGCCAGGGCGCCCCGCTGGCCTGAGGCCCCCCCCTGCGCCCGCCTCGCCACACCCTCCCTTCCTCCCCCTCTGCTTCCTTTCTCCTCCTTCCTTTTCCCTTCGCGTCTGCAGGGGTGCGAGCCCCAGAACTGACCCTCCTGAACTGCACTACAAGACACTTTGTAGAGACAAGATGGAGATTTCCAAGAGCAGAGGGGAAATTTTCTGGTGACTTTTTCCTCATGAAGGGCTTGAAGCTGGGGTCTCCACTTCTGTCTACGCGTAGGATCTCCGAGCAGAAGAGGAATGCCCAGACCCGGCCTCAGCGGCCTATAGGGCAGCTCCGTTGGGTTTAGGTCTGGAAGCAGGCTCAGGTGGCTGCTGGGTGGGTCCCTAACCCAGCCCCAGCCTCCACTCGGGCTTCCTGTGGGGGCCTGCTGCCCCCTGGTGGCCAGTGCGGTCAGTGCCGCTGCCCAGCTCAGCACACAGGCTGGGGGGCCCTGGTGAGGGGCGCTGTAAGAACCTGCGCTTCAGCAAGTGCCTGGCTGCAGGCTTCTGGTAGTTGGGGTACCAAGCCACTGGGAACTGCATGTCGGCCTTTAGCAGCCCAGGGGTGCCCCCAGACGGTGGTGGCTTGCTAACGCAGGGCTCCCACCCATCTGGTATTGAAACCCTCCAGCTTTGGGCCCGACCTGAGAGTTCGGAGATGCTGGCTGTGCTCTCGGACCTAGGCCTTCGCGGGAGGGGGCAGCCAGGAGCTGGGCTCTTCCCTCTGATGCTCCCCCTCTGAATTCAGAAGACACTGCACGCCTGAGCTTCCAGGGATGTCCCTCCAACCCCCTGGAGCCATTTGTGCCTCCAGCCCCCCCGCCTTGCAGTGCTGAGGTCGGGGGCACCGGGTGGGGTGGGCCGGGCACAGCCAGCCCCGGAGAAAGAAGGCCGAACCTACAGAGCACCGATCCCATATGTCCCCTCACCCCCCCACCACCCCCACCTCCCTGGGCTTCTGTCACGAAGTCAGGTCCCCAGAAGGTTTGGGGCGGGCTTCAGGGCAGTGCTGGGCAGGGAAGAAGCGGGTTTCTGACTTACTGGCTTCATCTCCCCCCTAAAGCAACTCTTAGTGCCTGAAGGGTTTAGACCCACATTTCCCAAATGTGGTGTGGGCAGCTCCCAGGGTAGGTGGTGGGTGCCAGGGACGGGGAGGGGGTGCCCCAGGCATCTCTCCCTGGAGTCTCCAGGTTGCCTGAAGACGGCTGGGGAAGCCATTAAGCCGTGTTTTAATTTTCAAGCAAATTACGTCTCTGTCATGGAGAAGAATGTAAAATTGGCCAGACTTTTAAGAACAAAGCGCTCAGCTCTCTGGCCATGTGGAGCTGTGTCCCCCAGGTGCCCTCCTTTGCCCGTGCAGGTACGGGGCAGGGGGGGGCCAGAATTGAGCTCTGACCAGGCAGCAGGTGGTGGGAGCTGTTTCAGGGACACGGTGGAGACGTGTGCACCCAGGGTTGTGCGCCTGGAGGGATCAGTCCAAAGGTTTCTTGGGCTGCCCCCCCCCCGCCGCCCCAGGGCCTCTGGGGGACCTCCGACCTCCCCACGCGACACTAGCGTTTCCCCTTTCGCGCTGGGTGAGTGACAGTTGGTGGGGGTGGAGGGTGGGACACATGAGGATGTTTAAGTACAGATTTTTTTAAAAAGGAAATCACTTTTAAACTTCCTGGCTCTTGTTCAAAACAGTGGTGAGCTCCCATGGGGGGTTTGCTAAAGGTCACACCCCCGCCCGGCTGAGCAAGAGGCCTCGTGACAGCATGTGACCTCTGAAGGCAGGAGCACCAAAGCCAGCTCTGGGTCTCCTTCTGGGGCTGGAGTGACTTGTGGCTCGGAAGGGGCCTGAGGGAGGGACTTAAATTCTGACATCGGGATTCGAGATTCCAGCACTGTGGGCTGGCCAGAAGTTGCCCTCCCTCTACCAAGAAAGTTTGCTAAAGCAAATGATTGCTCCAGACAAAAAGTGCAGGTGACCAGCTTGATCTACTTAAGAGAACAAAATTTTCAAGCACTTTAAACAGGCACCGATTGTTCGCAAACGGGCTGAAGTGCAAGTGATGTGTTTATCAGAGGAGGTCTGTGCTGCCTCTCATTGCCAATGGGTTGCTTTGGGTCTCGTTCTATCCGTGAAAGTGGTATGAAGCGGCATCTTCGTAGGGTTATTCTCTTCCTTAGGGGTTGGGGTTCTGTATTTACTTGCTAACTGTTCTCCCCCATTCCCTGCCGCCTCCTTGTCCCAGAGGGGTAGATGGATCCCGAGTGGAATTTCTCAGAACCCTTCCCTGCCCAGCCCCAGTCCCCACAGGGACGCCTTGGGTCCTGGCCGCGCAGGGGCCGGGGAGGGTGAGCCAAGCCGCGTGCGCGTGCGCACAGGTGCACGGACAGCCTTCCTGCCTGGTCCTTGCCGGGCCCCCGGGGGGTTCTTGGTGAGCAGCATGCTTCACGTATTCGAGGAAGGTTTCTCTTGCCTTTAGTGTCGTGTGAGAAGTTTTTAAGTTATATTTATTTTTTCCGGTTTTTTAATTGCACAAAACACTAAGACTGGGAGGCTGGATTCTGTTTGTCCTTTAAAGCTGTGCCTTCTTTCTGAACTTTTCCCCCTTGGGGGAAAGAGCCCGGACACAGCACTGCCCCCCCCCCAGATGGACTCTTTCCCCTGTTCGCTGTATCTAGCTTTGAGTTTGCCCGCATCCAGCCCACACCCCGCCCCTGTGTGTATATAACCCAGGCCACCAGCCTGGGAAGAGGCGGGGGGTTCACACCCCCCCCAAGTCAGTGCCTTTCTTCAACTCTCCAAAGGGTTCTCTTTCCTTCTTCACCCCTTTCTCTGTGACACCTTGTAGTAAACAACTGTTACAAACCACCCCCACCCCCCTGCACAATGCCTGTCAAACAGACCGCGCGGCTCTGTACCTTCTGAATAAAGGCCCGAAAGACCACAGTGCAGGCTGCAGTGCGGTCCTTGCCACCCCAAGCCCTGGAGAAGCGCCTCGGGGTGGGTGGGTGGGTGGTGGTAGTGGCATTCTTTGGAAACTGGAGGATCGTGCTGGGGCTCCAGGGACGCCCAGGAATGGAGGTTCAGACTGGGTAACATTTTGATCTGCAAAGGATTTAAAACAGTCTTCAAATCCACTTTTTTCAACCTTGTCCACAAAACCTTTACATAGTCATTCAAGGGTGCAGAATGGCCACAAAGAAGTGCTTATACCCCATCCCGCGGGCTGGGGGGGAGGGGCACCGGGAGGCCATTGCACGTGGAGCTTAGCTCTGTGCAAGGTGAGGGGCTGGCTGCTTGCCTCTGTGGCCCCCTTTGATTCCCAATCACCTCCACGAACAGGGCTCTGAAGTCTGCGTTTTACAGAGGTGGAAACTGAGGCCAAACAACAGGACCTGGGCAATAAATGGGGAGCAGAGATTCGGATCCGGACTTTGCCTGGTTGCAGACCCGATTCTGTCTTCCTCCTCTCCGGGGAACGTCTGCGGACAGAGAGCCTGTCCTGTCCTGGCCCTGGGTCCCAGGCTCTCTGCACGGGGCTTGGCGCTCCCTGGCCTTGTCCATCGCTTCTGATCGAGGGGGCCGCACACTCTCATGAAGCAGTAGGAAATAAGCCTCCCCTCCAGGTAGCTTCCTGAAGAACCTGAACAGAAGTACAGTCTTGGCTCCACTGTTGGCCCCTTGGAGTGGAGTGAGGACCCCGGGCAAAAGCGAGACGCCCCAGCCACCGTCTCCCACAGTGATGGTCCCACCCACGCCTTCTCGGTGTTAGCAGCCACCCATGGGATTTAGACTCTGTCCATGCCAGTGGGATGTCACCCCGAAGGTGGGGGCTTGCCCCTGTGAACTGGTGTTTTTCTTCAGCATCTCGCAGGGCCAGGCCCAGGACAGGTGCTAAGCCAGTGTCTGCTGACAGGGCCCCACCAAGCACCGTCAGTGATGATGGCAGTTGGGTGTGTGGTTGCCCTTCCTTCGGCAGAAGAACGACTCACAGTTGGCGTGGGCTCCCTGGCTCCTGGGTCCTGCGCCTCCTGTGGCCGTCCCTCCTCCGGGTCTTGCCAGACCTTCTCATTGCCCGTGACTGGCCGGCAGAGCACCCAGCAAACAGTTGCTGGAAAGCGTGAGAGCCGGTCCCCCTTCTACTCACAACTCTCTCCTCCGTGGCCCCCCCAGGGCTTGGTGATCGCCCCCCACCCCTACCCATGAGACCCCCCCCAACCTGTGTCCCAGGCCCACGGCTCCTCCCGAGCCAGGACTTTGCGGCCAGGGGTTTCTCCGGCGTGGTCATCAGTGGGACTGGGAGCATCTGGACCTCCTCAGCTTCTGCACCCCTCCTCCTGCCAACCTGGAGAGGACCCCACACATCCCACAGAGGTACAGCCCTGGAGAAAAGACCCCAGGTCGTGGCGGAGGGGCTTAGGGGACCCCGGGCACCACCAGGGCACATGGGCATCCCCTCCAGGGGGGGGAAAGAGTTGTCCTCTGGCTCACTTAACGGAGTCTTGGGTTTTTCTGCCTGCTTTGGACAAACTCCCACAGCCAGGGCTGCCCGTTGGCCCTGCCCTGAAGACGGAATCAGCATTCGAACCAGAGAGAGCTCCGGGTCCGTTGTCCACGGTCCCGCCAGAGCCCCGGTTGGGGCGGGGGTGGGGTGAGGCACTCCAGCGAGGTGGGCAGGGGCTCCTCTCCCTCTGTGGTGGCGGTTCTCACCAGGCCTGGCCCGGCCGGAGATCCCTGGAAAGTGTGAGTCTCTGCTCCTCGGGTGAGGATCGAAGGTGAGCGCCCTGTCAGGTGCAAGTAAACACATCCCAGTGCTGCTCCTGGGAACCAGGGCACCAACCACAGGCAGCTCTGTGGACCCATTGGGCCCACTGGGGACTTGGGCCAAAACTCTTACTTCCTGGACTCCGTCAGCAGAGGGCCGTGGTCGCATCTCGGGTGGTCAGTCACCCTACTGCTTTTCCAGGTCACTTCTGGCACCAACCGGCTTGGCCTGGGTTCCCTAGAAACCAGGTAAAAGCTGGCCTTTCTCGGGGAGAGCGATCCTGGGGGGCCTGGCATCGGGGGGGCAAGTGGAGCAAGGCTGGGA